ATACAAACTTTAGATAATAATGACTTGTGTGGTTGGTCAGAGAATAGCGGTGACTCCGTTTAGAAAAGGCTTTTTGAACTTTAGGAATCGGTAGGTGCTTTCCTTTTACCTTAATCTGAATCTATCAACTTGGACCAGGGACCTCTTTTATAGTTTAGTAGCCACTTTCTTAAATCCAAGAACTAGAAAATCTGAAATTCTTAAGCGTCTCTCAAACACAGCAGAGATTCAACATTAACTCAACACTTAATTTAACAGCTTAAGTGATAATCCTGCTCCAAGTTTAAGTATATTACTTTTAAGCTTACTGAGTTTACCTGAATGCAAACAGATTTGAAGTGGATCATTGAATAGGTACAATAATCTTAAAAATCGTGTTAATAGACCATTTTAATACAGTTGTGGGCATATTTACTTAATTACGTGGTACCCTAGCCTTCGCGGGGATAGATCTTGTTTTGATACATTAAACCTGCTTTGTTTTCTTATGAAAATTATGCTTGAAAAATTCTAGTTAGCCTAAGAACAGCATGATTTACATAGGGAAGCAAGGAGGGTTGTATCATTGAAAATAAGGTCCGCAACTCCAGCCTCATTTCCATCACAGTTAATAATAGTGTTGATGTTTGTTCACCGAACCTGAATCTAAATGAGGGGGACATGGGAATTAACGGTATTGCAGTATTGAGCTTGTTTTTTCGGTATTTTGGTAATTTGATATTAATGTGCAGTATTGCGGTATCATCTAGCCCTGCGGTATACAGTTTCTCATCCTTTTGGTTAACGGTATTCGGTAAAAGAAGATCCTTCATGGTATTGCAGTCCCAGTTATTTGCGCTCTCCTGTCTAATATGGGTCAATACAATGTGCAACATGAACAACAGTAAGGTAAACAGGTTAATAAAAGTTAATAGTTTAAGACTTTAGACTTGATGGTAAATGATTACGCAATCTAATGACAAAATTTGGAAGGGAATCCAATGACCGGGCTTTTCGATCGTTCTACCGATCAAGGTCTTCTCAAGTTTTCTCGCAATGCCTGGGGTTCATTTCTGGTGTATACATGCTAAAGGTAAACAAACACGTGAAATGGATACAGCTTTAAGTAATAATGCGGTATTGGTATTTTGTGGATTTTTGACACGGTGTTTTGTCATTTGCCAATTTTTCTTACGGTATTGCGGTATTGGGTACCCCCTAATGTCCCTCTCCTTAATGATCACAATAATATGTATTGTTATTCAATGCAGCAGTTTACCCCTACGTACAGTTCGAGTAATTCTTTCAAGAACCACGTCTTCTGGGCAACATTCAGACATGTGGCAAAGTGTATTAGATTATTGGTTTAGTTCAGGAGATCGAAGCAAGTGGTTTGGTGGAGGTCCACAAGTGGATGAGGAAATTAAAGAAAAGTTTGGATCCTTGGTGAGTTAATTTTGTCCTCTCTTACTCCCTTATTAACCTAAAAAAATCCTAAAGCAAAAATGCAAGGTAAGATAATATTTTTTATTTGAAGTTAATGCTTAAAAAATCAGGGTCTAACTCTTGTTTGGAGTAAGAATATGTATATTTCCTGTAATCTGTGAGACTCACCGGGTTAGAAGGGGGCACTATAACAACTTGCACCATTTATTGCTGTGGGTCTCTGATTCCCTTCCTAGAAGAATAAATTATGTAGGCAAGATCATTAGGGGCTACAACTCCTTCTCTTTTTTAAACAGTACTGTCAGTGGGCACTTGTTACTCAAAACCTAGGTCAAAATTGTATGGGTCATTTATCTAGTCTGTTTTGCTAGCTATAAATTAAACAAACGATTCTGAAAACTTCATTTTGTGGCACCCCAGCTTGAGATCACCTAGCTCTGTCTAGGTGAGTGCAAGATATGACATACTTTACTTCCAGTTAAATTATGCTATACAATATCAACATTTCTGTCATAGAGGTGCTTTGGTTTTGAAGTGATAGGAAAACTGAGTAAGAAGATATATAGCAAGCTTAACCTGTCACAGGCAGCCCAGACTCTATATTGGAGTTCGTTGGAATTTGAATTTTATACGAGAATGTATGAAAATAAACAAAATAAGATCTAAGTTACATTCTTTGAAAAAATTTGTTTTGTGTGTTTTACTTTATATCTATTCACTTGTAGAGTTTTGTAGAGTTTTAGATTTGAAGTTAGTACAACTTGAAATCTAAAACTCAATAAAACAGCTTCCAAATGGCTCTAGTCAGTGATACAGGAAGCTCAGAAGAAAAATTCTGAGTACTTCGCGTAGGAGTTGAACCCATTGACCTAAGTTCTGGTTACTTGTCCTGATGCTCTAGCACTTCAGCTACAGGAGACTTGTGGGAGCCACTAAACAAGGTTCTTTTGACAAACATCCTGCATAATGCTAGGACTGGAATTAACTTAGTGTATGTGTGGTTTTGCACAATATGATAGATCCTTGGTAGTGAATTTTAATCCTGGCTCTAGTTATTCAAACAATGGATAGCCCTATTCACCCAGATAAATCACTATCCAGCGGATAAGTATTACGAGCCAGCAAGCCATGTGAAGGAAAAATAGAAAAAAATCGAAAAAGCACTTATATGAAAAAAAAAAAAAACTGAAAGCTAAACATTGTAAATGAGTGTTTAACGCCCAAAGCGCTTAACCCTTACGCGTAAAAAACGTTTTTAACCCTAAACAGCGCGCAACCTTAATCCATAAAGAGAGTGCTAAACCCTAGTCAGTAAAATGAGTGCTTAACCCTAATCAGTGTAAGTCAATGAATACTGCGTAATTCTGCAAATATTCCATCAGCAAAACCTCGGAACTAAGCAGGAAACATTTTTCATGCATTTACAATTTCATAAAACTCTATTTTCTCTCATGGCTCGCAAGGCTCGCTGGCTTGCAGATTGTCCGGGCCCGTGTGTTATCCACTGTACAAAGATTTATCAGATAGATAACGTTATCCAGCTTTTGAACAACTGGGGCCTGATTAATACAGGAGAAAGCTGTTTTTTTAGTCAGTGACACAAGTGCTCAGAAGAAAATACATGTATTCGAGTTTTCCCAATAGGAGTTGAACCCACATGTGTATTATTTTCTACCACTAAACTACAAGACACTTGTGGCAGCTAAGACCCACGTTTTATTCATTTTATTTATTTCAGGTTGACGAAGCCATCCAAGGAAATTTAAAGGAATGGGAAAGTGAACCTAGGCCATCATTAGCTTTGATCATACTAACTGATCAATTTACGAGAAATATTTATAGAGTAAGTATGTTAACGACTAACTACTAACTACGACTAGAGTAAGTATGTTAACGACTAACGACTTGGGGAAATT